AAAAAGATATAGACCCAAGAAAAGCTGGGGAACCAATATTAAGGTCTGAACGGGGCTTCAACTGATAGAGTGCACAAAGCTAGCCAAACACAGGCAGAGTGGAAGAGGGTTGTTACAACATCTAAGGCGGCTAAACAGTTGTAGCAGCCTTGGGACTGACTTGACTTGACTTGATTGGAGGATGATGAGGGGGTGAGTTACCAAGCTCCCACTGATATAAAATAACACAGCCGAAGGATCTGTGGGTATGTAGGGTCTCTGTCTCTCTGTGTGAGCCTCTGTGAGTTTTAGTGCATGTACGTGCGCTTGGATCCATGTGAAGAGGGTGAATGAGAGTGGTGAGAGGTGCGTGCCTGTATGCCTGAGCTCTATGTTCTAAGTCTGTGAAGCTGTGTTGAGCTGTGGAGTATAGTTGCTGCTGTGTGTTGAATTTTTGGTCTCTGTGAGAGTGGCTAGATCACTCCAGGGCCAAACTAGTATTGCAGTCAGATGCAGTGTCTGGACCATATTTTGACTCCCCGTGGTGAGGGAGGGCATGATGTCTGAAGTCTAATAGTCAAACTGACTGGTGAGACAGGTGGCCTCAGCTACTGGGAGGCTTTACTGAGCTGGTCACTCACTCCCTCACCACAGGGAGTCACAAATATGGTCCAGACACTGCATCTGACTGCAATAATAGTCTGGCCCTGGAGTGATCTAGCCAGTCTCACAGGGACCAAAAATTCAACACACAGCAGCAACTATGCAGCTCAACACAACTTCACAGACTTTAGCAAGTATGAAATGACTGCGCAGTAACCGCCAGTACCATGCAGTCCCAGTGCCGCATGGGTCATTTCTGACCCTACTGTGCAGTAGCAGCGAGCTACTGCGCAGTAGTGCCGGTATCACAGATTCACAGAAGCTTAGGGCTGGAAGGGACCTTGTGAGATAATTGGGTCCAGCCCCTCTTGCTCTGGACAGACTGCTGGGGTTAAATAACCCCAGCAAGGTGTGTGTCCAGTCTCCTTTTGAAGATCTCCAGGGTAGATGCCTGTACCACCACCACTGGGAATCTATTCCAAAGTCTGGTTACATGAACCATGAAGAGGTTTTTCCTTATATCTAGCATGAAGCCTTCTTCTAGGTGTTTATGACCATTGCTCCTGGTTTTCCCCTGGTGCGCTTTGGTGAATAGTTGTTTGCCTAGCCCCTGATGCTCTCCCCTGATATATTTGGAAGCTGCCACCAAATCCCCCTGAAGTCGTCTTTTGTAGGCTGAACGGTCCCATACCTGTCAGCCTTTCCTTGTATGGCTTGCTCTTCAGGCCTATAATCATACGAGTGGCTCTGCTCTGGACTCTCTTAAGCTTCTCCACATCCTTCTTGAAACATGGCACCCAGAACTAGATGCAGTACTCCAACTGTGGCCTCACCAATTCCAAGTAGAGCGGGAGAATAACTCCCTTAGTTTTGCTTGAGATGCATCGGTTGATGCATGCCAGCGTATTGTTCACTCTGCTAACTGTGGCATCACACTGGTGGCACATATTCATTTTATGGTCAATTATGACTCCCAGGTCCCTTTTGGACGTTAAGCTAGCTGGTGTAGCACCACTGAACCTGTAAGTTTGTTGTGGATTTTTCCTCCCCAGATGGAGCACTTTCCACTTCTCAGTGTTGAACAGCATCTGGTTCTGGCTACCCATCTCACTAATCTGTCTGGTTTCGCCTAGATCATCAGCCTACCCTGATGCATGGCTGCACATCCCCAGAGCTTAATGTCATTGGTGAACTTTGCCAGTGCTTTTCACCCTCACATCCAGATCATTGATAAAGGTGTTAAAAAGCACTGTTCCAAGTACCAACCTCTGGGGGACCCCACTGGCTACCTTCCGCCAGGTCAACACAGATCCATCTATTAGTACTCTCTGGGTCCGACCTCACAGCCAGTATCCCATCCGTCTAACTGTTGAATTGTTGAGCCCATAATTCCCTAGTTCAGGGGTCAGCAACCTCTGGCACATGTGCCAAGCATGCTACGCAAGGCCATTTTGCTTGGCACACCACCGCCAGCCTGGGCTCTAAGCAGCTGCTGCCAGCCACGGAGCCCAGGCTGCTCCCGGCTGGGAGGCTGCAAGCCCTGCTGTAAGCACATCAGGCTCCGTTGGCTGGCTGCAGCTGGGAGGCTGCAAACAGCTGCTCCGGGCTCCAGCATGTCAGCACTCTGGCACCTTCCAAGGTAGACATTGTGGTTTTTTCAGCACTCTGGCCAAAAAATGTTGTCTACCCCTGCCCTAGTTTTACCTTGAGAGCCTCATGGGGCACCAAGTCAAAGGTCTTCATAAAGTCCGAGTAAATTACGTCAACCTCATCTCCCTTATCCAGGTGGTGAGTAACCTGGTCATAGAAGGAAATGAGGTTAGTCAGACATGACCTACCCATGACAAAACCATGCTGGCTGTTGTTCAGAATTTTGCCTTCTACTAGTTTATCACATATGGACTCCTTGAGAAATTTTTCAAGGATTTTTCCTGGGATTAAGGTCAGGCTGATCAGCCTCTGGTTCCCTGGGTCCTCTCTCTTCCCCTTCTTGAAGATGGGCACAACATTGGCCTTCTTCCAGTCTTCTGAGACCTCTCCTGAGCACCACAAATTCTCAAAGAGGTTCGCCAGTGGTTCTGCAATGACTTCAGCTAGTCACGGTTCATGCCTGCTGATGTTGCGTCCCTGTAGCTCGTCACTGCAGCGACATAGTGTCTCATGTAGACGTAAAACATAACATAGAACGCAGGGGCCTGCAGGGCAGTGCAATATAAAAGAAGTGGTGGAGGGAATGGACTTGCCGGGCTCCCCTCAGGAAAAGCGAGGCAAGGCACCTGCAACTGGGGGCCCCCCACCATGGGAAACAACAAATTGTCATACAAGGCAGTGGCAGAGCGGGCACATAACAACAGCAGCAGTTCTCAACCAGGGTGCCCTGGCCCCTTGCGGTGCCTTGAGAGCCTCCGAGGGGTGGTGCGGGTTGCCACACGATGTTACGATGCACACACGACTCCTGTAATAAACCCAGGGAGTTTCAAGAGGAATTCCTAGGTGCCAAACCTTCTGGCCTGCTGTGGGCCGAGTCCTTCGCAACAGCAGAATTGCTATAGTGTTTTTCTGCAGTCAGAAAGCAAAGGAAAGCTGAGCCCTGGCCTCTTCCAAGAGAGACCCCTCAAGTCTAGTCCACCTAGGCGAACCTCAAGTCTATTGCAGGGGAGGGTGATTTTCCAGTCTAAAAGGTTGAGAACGTGGCCTTAAGGACAGCGGGGAGAGTGCTGGGACCCGACAGGCCTACTTGACACATACTGGGAATTTGGCATAGGTGGCAGAAAGTCGGGGCTAACAGGGCTTAGCCCCCACAAAACTAATTTTGTGGTGGCCAGTGACAGCGCCACCACCACACCTCGCTGCCACAGCACTGCACCCAGTGCCCCCACCGTCTGCTCTGCTGCCACCGTGCGTACAGCAACAGCACGTGCCGGGGGTGGAGAGCAGAGCGCACCAGATAGTCCCCACTGGCCCTCCAACGAGTCCAAGGAGCCGGTGGACACTGCCCAGTAAAACTCTGCCTGGAGACGCGAATGGACCAGGGACAGGAACGGCCCCGCAGTCCTCGGAGGGTCCTCCCGGAAGAGCCTCCTTCCTGGTGAGATGTACTGCCAGCGTGACCAGGGCTGGGCTCTTTGATATGCCATGGGGACCAGCCAAGTAAAGCTATAAGCCCCCTTGGTGATGGGGGCCACTAGGGGCCTACCGCCCATTTCTCGGGACAAATAAAAACACAACGGGGCGGAAGCGAGGGTTTCTGAGGCGACACCAAGCTGAGCGCACTGGACAAGCACCCCAGGACCTCGCACGGGGCCAGTGGATGTTGCCCGGGGCGTGAAGGGACCAGGGACAGGGGACCAGCCCGGAGCCTGCCTGGTGCCTGGCTGCAGGGCCGGGGTCTGGCCGGAGGCTGGGCACAGCCCGCCATCCCTCCCCCGGCGGCAGCAGCAGGCGGGCGGGCGGGGGGGAGGGCACAGAGCGCTGGGCCGGGCTCGCGCAGCCCTTTCGGTTTCGTTTCCCCGGG